TATACTCTTGTCTCACCTACTAGTGGGATTCTACTGTCACTGCACCATGGCTCCATGGTGCTGAACGCCTATGAACATGAATGCTCGCATTCACAGTCCGGGCACGCTAATCATTGAGCTATGCCCGACCTCTAGTGAATGCTAAGTGTTTGATAACGTGAGTTTCATTGATTTAAACGTTAATGAAACAGTTTTGATAACATTCTGAAAATCACAGTCTTTATCTTACAAACAATTTGATGTACCCTAAAACTGAAGTTTCTCTTGATAAATATTAGTATTGGATTATTTCGTTCCTCTTCAATTACACCCACGTCATCTTGTGGCGCAGAACATGGCTGATCTTATATTTATGGACATCGACCTGACTCAGTTCACATATCTTAACAGTGACGTCATGAAAACAATTTCGTATTTCTTACACGCACCTAACCAGCAGAATACGAAAAAAAAGTAATTATTTTAACGTTCTGTTCGTTTGACACTCGACGTACTGGTACGTGCTTCAGCAGAACTATCAGACGTACTGGTACGTGTTTCAACTGCACTAACATAGTAACAGTTACATGGATAGTTATAGTAACGGTTACATGGATAGTTATAGTAATAGTTACATGAATAGTTTTAGCAACAGTTACATGGATAGTTATAGTAACAGTTACATGAATAGTTATAGTAATAGTTACATGAATAGTTATAGTCAATAGTTACATGAATAGTTATAATAATAGTTACATGAATAGTTATAGTAACAGTTACATGAATAGTTATAATAATAGTTACTTGAATAGTTATAGTAATAGTTACATGAATAGTTATAATAATAATTACGTGAATAGTTATAGTAACAGTTACATGAATAGTTATAGTAATAGTTACATGAATAGTTATAATAATAGTTACATGGATAGTTATAGTAATAGTTACACGAATAGTTATAATAATAGTTACATGGATAGTTATAGTAATAGTTACATGAATAGTTATAATAATAGTTACATGGATAGTTATAGTAATAGTTGTATTCAACGCCAAAGTGATATTCTTAGTCGTTATCTTTCTCGGACTGTGAATCTAACGATTTATGGTTCGCGACTCGTTACCGCAAAATCTTACTACGTATTTCAGGACCAAAGGTGTGGTATCATATGATCACATTTCATTATTCAATCAGACCAAGTGTTGGCGGTGGGTGCTGTTAGACAGGTAATTTCCCTCTAGTCTATCACTCAACATTCAAAATTAGGGACGATTATGTCCAGAATAGCCCTTATGTAGCTTTGGGCGAAAATATAAAAGAAACCATCTGTAGCAACATGATCTTGTTTTCAGAAAGACTTCGCTCATTTTTTAAGGATACTGTCTTTGTTTCTCAGATTATTAACAACTTTCATTACAGACTACACTGATGATATTAATATTGTCATTACACATCACTCTGTAGTCGTACCTGTATCTACTGCTTTCAGTCTGCCATCAGATTCAAAGTTTAACAAAATTTTAAAACAAATGAGCTGTAGCCAGGACACATCCTATGAACTTTAATTGGAAAACTATTGGTAATAAATTACTGGGTTTGGTTGGATTTTTAAACAAAAAACTACATAATGTGCTTTGCCCACCCCAGGTATCGAAACCCGATTTTAGCGCCGAGAGCTTATACTCTTTCTACTCAGGAACACACTCAGAAGGTAACAAAATGGTGAAAAAATAATATTTCATTGTGGTAACCTATATAGCACACGCTATCCTTCTCAACTTACATTATCTTGATGAAAGAAATATTATCCAACTGTGTTGTATGTTTGTATCTGATCAGACTTTACCTTATTCAGGTTTAAACTAACCACTAATACTTTTCTACGTATCCTAGTAACAGCCGTGGTTTATGTTTGTGTCTGATCAGACTTTACCTTATTCAGGTTTAAACTAACCACTAATACTTTTCTACGTATCCTAGTAACAGCCGTGGTTTATGTTTGTGTCTGATCAGACGTTACCTTATTCAGGTTTAAACTAACCACTAATACTTTTCTACGTATCCTAGTAACAGTCGTGGTTTATGTTTGTGTCTGATCAGACTTTACCTTATTCAGGTTTAAACTAACCACTAATACTTTTCTACGTATCCTAGTAACAGTCGTGGTTTATGTTTGTGTCTGATCAGACTTTACCTTATTCAGATTGAAACACCTATTTTTAAAGTACCCTGTACACAACAACAAGATTAATATACAGTGCCTTCCTTACTGTCGATAACATTTTAACGATAATTACAGTAAAAAAAACAGGTCTTACAACGATCTCACCTACATGATCTATAATAGTGAGAACAACACGCTAAGTCCTCATTTTCAAATCGTCTTCAATTTAGCAGAAATCGTTATGTCCTTGAAAGAAGTAAAAAAATAGTTTACTTCCGTGTAGAATCAATCCATTCCTTTACTTGTAGTGAGTTTACGTGCTTGTTTTACAATCAGATACCTTCTGATGTTAAAACAAGTATAATCAATCCATTATGATTGTAAAACAAACACGTAAACTCACTACAAGTAAAGGAATGGATTGATTATACTTGTTTTAACATCAGAAGGTATCTGATTGTAAAACAAACACGTAAACTCACTACAAGTAAAGGATGGATTGATTATACTTGTTTTAACATCAGAAGGTATCTGATTGTAAAACAAACACGTAAACTCACTACAAGTAAAGGAATGGATTGATTATACTTGTTTTAACATCAGAAGGTATCTGATTGTAAAACAAACACGTAAACTCACTACAAGTAAAGGATACCTTCTGATGTTAAAACAAGTATAATCAATCCATTCCTTTACTTGTAGTGAGTTTACGTGTTTGTTTTACAATCAGATACCTTCTGATGTTAAAACAAGTATAAGATTAAACTCAAACTCTTTTAATGAAAGTCATCTGGAAACATAGATTAGGTCTTTAAGATATTTTAACTGAATCTTCCCGTTTGGTCTTTTAAGGAACAAACAAAACAAAAGTTAATATCTGATTAATAGAAGTGAACGTCTTCCTACTGTGAATGTATCCTGTTTAAACATCAGTGAACAACGAAACAGATAAGGGTTAAGTAGACAAGTAAGACCTTTTCTAAGTAATGTTACTTTCCGAGGAATTATTTGTTCCACCATTTTTATTTTTATCCACAAAATCGTTACACCTAGTGGCTACTTCTAAAAGTATATATATATTTTTTTTTATAACGATTTAATATACAAATTTTGGAAGATGGAGCTTGTACTTTGTGAATTGTTTGTTTGTAGTTAAGCGTAGAGCGACATAATGGGCTATTTGTACTGTGCCAACGAAGGGTATCGAACTCCGGTTTCTTGAGTTATTAGTCCGCAGACTTACCGTTGTGCCTTCGTGAAATGTTTGTTTCCGAATTTCGTGCATATCTGTTCTTAACTATGAACTAAATAATGGTGAGTGAAAGTCCAGTAATTCAAGTAAAATAATAATAATAGCTAAATAATCAGTGTTAAAAATAAAAATAAATAATGTTGTGTTATTAATTCTTACCTTAGAAAACTGATTTGTAAATTACTTGAATTATAATAAT